GATGGCACGATTGTTGAACAAATCTCCAAGCCTCAAATTGTCATATGCGACTTCGCAAGAGGCTATAACCTCTATTGGAACACATAAGCATGTTTACTAGTTTATATTGCATATTAAAGTACAATAATTTTTTTGGTTTGTCTCCTCGTCCGATCCATCGTTCCTCGCTCCCAATCCTCTTTTCTCACTTTCACCAATCAGCCATGGAAAACTTAAGACCCACGGCAAGAGTCCTAGAGCCGGGGCCTAACGGAGGTACACTTGACCCTCCTCCAACATGGCGCTAATTATATTTTCAAGCTATAAAATCTTCACTAACACCATAACACCCATGTCGTGGCCTGGCCAGCCGAGCCCTAGCTCATGTGTGTTGTAACTAAGCATGGCTTGGCGCTGACATGTGGTGCACCTTGTATCTTTGTCAATACAGCAGGTGTACACAATAGCCACACATTTAAACTAAATCAATTTTCTACACAAAACTAATCGTTTATTTCACCAAACATTTTTATGGGCATTATAATTTTCTTATTCTACTGAAATAAGGTTCTAACTGAATTTTTATCTGAAGTTACATAATTGATTATAGTGTAGTTTAGTTACTACATACAAAACTGTTGTTCTTCACCCATATCCTTTTTTAGTAACAGCAGCAGGAGCTTAAAGGGACTTCAAGGCCTCATCTTTTTTAGTAATTTCCACGACAATATATCAAGAAAACAATGTCAATATAGGACATGAATTAAGGGAGCATTCTTGCGCGATAAGCTACAAATTCTAAATGCGAGACATATACCCTATGAACGAAGGAATTTTCTGTCACTTTGGTTCGAAGCTGGCCTGGAGTGAGTTGAACGGACAAAATGTAAGATTCTTGTGACAACCTTACGTGAGAAGTGGAACCAATGGTGTACCGCAGGTTTTCCCTTTTGCAAAAAAAAACATGATACAGGACCGTACTATTAATACAAGCTAAGGGATTGGAATCAAGAATATATTATATTGCCGAAACGAGAAGCAACTTGTATTTCAATCTGCGAACCCTATGAACATCAAAGTTATAGTCTAAGGCGGTTCTTTGATCTGAATCACTTCATTCATAATATTTGTCTACAGCACACCATTGGCGTATACAAAAGATGCTACTAATTTCAAGAAAAAAAATATTATCAAATGATCATCACACGCTAAACAAGTGTAACAACGCAATATATATATATATATATATATATATATATATATATATATATATATATATATATATATATATAGGGTTAGAGAGTGAAAATTATACAACACGATGGGGCGATAAAATCCCGAAATTCACAAAGTCATTAGAGACGTCTCTTTATTGATAGGCATGCGAAGTGAACGCTAGACCACTTGGTTTAGGTGTGCGCTTTGCACTATGTCGGCCAGAGTACGGATCTCCTTGGAGCGGATTTGTTGGCCCGAGGAGGCGCAGCTTATATCTGCGCGTTGAAAAAAAATCCCCTCTTCTACTCCACGTCAAAGCATAGGTCTAAGGCCAGCCCAGTCTTCCAGGAGCTGCGGTGCCGTTGTGTATGGGTGGGGCAGAGGTTCACGGGTTTTCTCGACTTGCGTGAGAAGATCTTCTTCTTAAGCACAATGCCCAGGGCTGTCTTACCCCCGCGGGTCAAGTTTTTTTTATCGATAGGCATTTTGCCACCGCTTAAAGAAATAGCACTATTTCTGAAATAAAATCCAATAAAATGCGAATACCTGAGTCAAGTCAATGACTTAAACCGAAAATTAAAAATAATGTGTCTTCTCGTAGTGTTATGTATATACAGTGAACAACCCATGCAACCAACCACGCCGAATTCAGTGTTTGGATAGTTTGGCCCAAATCTCCCATCTTTTGCGCACCACCCCACGGCCAAATAGAATCTTTTGAGTGGTTGGCAAGACCAATAGGTTAAAATAGCAAAAGAGGTGGGAATTGAGCATAAAATTGGGATTAGATCATATACCAAGTTGTATCCCAAATACTTTAATAATATACACGTGTACCCCAAGGATTTTAAAGAGCCTGAATTCATTAACTTCTTTGCGGAGGACAACATGACTACATGGGAGCATATTAGCCAGTGTATTGCACGATTAGGCTTCTATGGTCCCGTTTGGCGGAGCTCCCAGAGCTGATTCTCTGCTAAATCCAGCAGGAGCTCTGTCAAACAGTTTTTCAGAGAGAAGTGATTCTCTACTGATTTCGTGAAATGATTCTCTGAACTAAACTAGGAGGCTGAGTGAGAAAAGTAGCTTCTTCTGATTCTATGAAGTGATTCTCCATCATGATTTCAAGAGTTTATGCTAAAGAATCAAAGAGAATCACTTTCAGCCACAGAATCACTTCTCTTAGAGAATCAGTTTCTATAGAGAATCAGAATCAGATGGAGCGCCACCAAACAGGCTGTCGGATATCTATACCCAGGTATCCAAAGCAAAAGATTAATGAGCATCACGTCGGCTCATCCGATGGTTAAGGACGCAACTGCGTCCTCGTCCGACGCCGAGGACGAGGTTTCCGCCTCGCCCGACCCCAAGGCGTGGGCTACGACTGTTGGGAGTATTCCCTAGAGATAATCATAGAGATGATTATATTGCCTTGTATCCATGATATATTATGAGTTCATTGAATTTCCATTAAAGACAACCTGTATCGACTAGCAATTATGTGAATTGTTTGTGAAACTCTTTTACTTGTATGGTTATTCTAATGTTGTCCCTAGTCAGAGTTCGTGTGATGACACACATGAATAATGGATCAGCACATTATTAGTTGATGACTATGTTTCACAAGTCATAGACATGGAGATGTCAAACTAATAATGTGGGCACATGTATGACATGGGGCTGGACTGACCCAACACGAGATGTTGTTATTATCTCTATTCACATCATGTACGTTATGTCCTTAGACCTGAGATTGTTGTATGTATTCAAGATGTGAAACGACCTACTCAGTGACTATCAAACGCTACTCTGTAACAGGGTAGTTATAAAGGTGGTTTTTCGGGTTTGTCGGGAAACATGCTATGAGACATAGACAATCAAGATAGAATTTGCCCATCTCTATATGAGAGAGATATCACTGGATCACTCTAATGATTAGATCAAGAAATGCATGGTCGTGCTTGGGTTAAGTGTTAACCTATGAGTTGGACCAAATATCGTGAGGCAAGGGAATAACAAGTATGTGGTTTTGTGGTGGTTCGTCTGATATGATCTTTGCGTACGCATAGGAGTTGGAGTACTCGGGCCATGTCTATGTGTGCGTGAACCCATAGGGTCGCACGCTTAAGGGGCTGGAAGCCTAATTCGGATTGGATCCGAGTTAGACAAGGCTTAGGGTTACTAATGGGCCTCCAACTCGGGAGCTCATTAGGGACGCCTATAAATAAGTGGGGTGGGCAATGGGGCTAAGGAGGGCATGCCATTTTGGCAACCGCCGCCGCCCATGCTACGCCCGCGCCTGCTGCTCCTCGCGGACCTAGTAGTCCGAAGGTGCGACGCTTCCTCCCTGTACGTGTGGATACCTCGAAGGTGCTACATCTGGAGCACAAGGACGAACCGCACGAAGGGGACGGACGTACGGATGACCTTGCAACTGCACGACACTACTACGACACGTACGACTACATCGAGTCGCTTCCGCTGCACCTGTGCGTCTAGTGGTAATTCCGTGATCTATAACTAGCAGTAGATCCTGGTTTATGAGGTCGATTTTTTTTGTTTTTCGGCTAGCGTAGCATCCTCATAACTCTACCGTGGTATCAGAGCTAGGTTATTGCGTTGTTATAGGTTCGGATGAGTGCATATGGAGATATGCGTGGTTGTAGATGAGTCTCTGGTCATGGTTCATGATTTTACCGTGTTGGTCTTGTAACGATCTACTCGTACCGGTCGGAATTCCGCCATCCGAGTTAAGTGATACATGTAAATCCAGTCATGGCAAGATGGAGATCAATCAGATTGATCGAATCGAACCTAGGTCAAGTGCCGAGCGCATGTGATGCGCAGCGGTGATAGATTGGATCTACTACCGGGCGCCGGGGTGCAAGAAAAAGTGTTGTTCGGTAAAACAGCCATAACTTTTGCATACGACCTTGGATTGAGACGAACTCTAGACGAAAATTGTAGAGAAAAAAAATTTACATCCTATTCTCACCCCCTTTGGTGGTTTTGCTGAAATTAGATTTGCAAAAAACGGCCGGGAAGATGGTGTTTTCGGCGTTTTAAGATTAGACGTCGGAATCAGTTAACTCTGTTTTGCAGGAATTTCTGACTGGTATAGCCCTTATGTGTATGTGATGCATGTATGTGATTAATTTATGGCTTGCATGTCGTGAGTATGACAATATGGCTAGAGCCACAAAGATATTGTCAATTTGATGTATTGGCCTGCGTGCCAAACTATGATGATCCTATCCGCGACTATGTAATTTTCTTCACTGCCTTGCATTAGTGATAGCTAGTCTTGGTGGACTCATCGCTGAAGGATGGCATATATGGATCATGGAGATGGAGATCATCATGAGGAACAGTTCAAGGGAGATGGAGATCCCCAAAGGAACAATGGGCTATACCATGTCATATCTGTGTTAATGCCGTTCTTACTATGTTCTACTTTCACGTGCGATAATGTTTTTGTCTACATGCGATGGTGAAGTAGAACGATCCTTCGGCAATGTTTAAGTTAAAATGCTTCCCCAAACCTTGCACTGTCATGTGTCTTGTACAATCGGTGGTGGGTCTATGAAATTAGGGTGCCACTAGTTTTCCTGGACTAGACAGGTTCGTATCGGATACTTACAGTAGAAGGGTTGGTTACTTGGACAAGGTCATCCTAACGGTTAGGGACCTTGGAGCATGAGTAGTTGGGCACCAAAGCATAGAGATGCTACCCAACAACAAGAGTCATATGTGATATGATTAGCAAAGAGTTGCTTACCAATCTACCATGTCTTCTAGCGGTGATGCTAAAGCTCACTAGTTTCAAGTTGAATGGAACAAACTATGCAGATTGGATCCGCAACCTGAGAATTGTTCTCAGGGCTGAGAAAAAGGAAGAAATTCTAGACACCCCATTACCAGAAGAGCCTACTGATAATGCACCTGCTGCAGAGAAAAACGCTTACAAGAGAGCATGTGATGCTGATCTTGAAGTGAGTTGCCTTATGCTTGCTTGTATGGAACCAGATCTGTAGTTGCAGTTTGACAATAACCATGCAGTGCACGATATGATCGTGGCGCTCAATGATATGTTCTAGACTCAAGCCAGGACTAAAAGGTTCAATGTTTCAAAGGCTTTTGCTGAAACCAAGCTAGCAAAGGGCGCAGCAGTTGGGCCACATGTGATCAAAATGGTTGGTTACACTCAGAGGTTGGAGAAGCTGGGCTTCCCAATTGGCCCTGAATTAGCTACTTATTTTATTCTCGCGTCTTTTCCGCCGAGCTATGGAAATTTCGTCGTGAACTACCATATGCATGGGGTGGAAAAGGGCTTGAATGAATTATGTGGCATGCTTAAAACAGCAGAGGCTGATATCAAGAAAGGTGCTGGCAGTAGCCATGTGATGGCGGTCCAAAACAAGCCTAAGTTTAAGAAGAAGGGCAATTCTTGGAAGAAGAAAAAGGGCAAGGCTAAAGATGAGATCTCTAAGCCAAACCCACCTGCGCCCATTGCTGGACCACCTACTGATGCTGAGTGCTTTCATTGTCATGGAAAAGGTCACTAGAAGAGGAACTGCAAGCTGTACCTGGAATCCATAAAGGATCGCGGCAGTAAAGGTACCCCCGCAGCTTGTACAATTGTTGTTTATGTTACGGACATTTTCCTTGCTAATTTTTATATTAATTCTTGGGTATTTGATACCCGATCGGTTGCTCATATTTGCAATATGATGCAGGGAATGATAAGAAGTAGAAGCGTGGAAAAGGGAGAAGTTGATTTCCGCGTGGGCAATAATGCAAGAGTTGCTGCATTGAACGTCGCGATGATGCAACTCCACCTCCCGTCAAGATTTATTATGGAGTTGAATAATTGTTATTTTGTTACTAGTTTAAGTCGAAACATTGTGTCACCTTCATGTTTGATGAAGGATGGTTATTCATTTGTGAGTAAATAGAATGGTTGTGTGTTCTCTAAAAATGGCATGTTTGTGGCTTCTGCATCCATTGTGAATGGGTTATTTATTTTAAATCTTGAAGATGCTCCTGTCTATAATATAAGTGCTAAAAGGCCTCGGCTTAATGAGTTCAGTCCTACCTATATGTGGCATTGTCGTTTAGGTCATATAAGTGAGAATCGCATGAAGAGACTCCATTCTGATGGGCTTTTAACTTCGTTTGATTTTGAATCATATGAGACATGTGAGGCTTGCCTGCTGGGCAAGATGACCAAGATGCCTTTCACAGGTTTTCCTGAGAGGGCGGCAGACTTGTTGGAACTCATACATACTAATGTGTGCGGACCAATGAGTATGACAGCAAGGGGTGGATTCCAATACTTCATAACCTTCACTGCTGACTTTAGTAGATATGGCTCTGTCTACTTAATGAGACATAAGTCTAAGACATTTGAAAAGTTCAAGGAGTTTCAGAGTGAAGTAGAGAATCAACGTGGCAAGAAAATTAAGGCTTTGCGATCTGATCGTGGAGGCGAATATTTGAGCCACGAGTTTAGCAATCATCTAAAGAGTTGCAGAATTGTTCCACAGCTTACGCCACCTAGAACGCCTCAGAGAAATGGCGTGTCTAAGCGATGTAATCGGACTTTGTTGGACATGGTTCGGTCTATGATGAGCCAGTCAGACCTACCGTTATCATTTTGGGGATACGCTCTAGAAACAGCCGCTTTCACATTGAATAGGGTATCGTCTAAGTCCGTAGTTAAGACACCACATGAGATGTGGACTGGTAAAAGTCCCAGTTTGTCTTTTCTGAAAATTTGGGGTTGCGAAGTTTATGTGAAACGACTTATGACAGATAAACTAACACCCAAGTTAGACAAATGTTTTTTCGTGGGATATCCGAAGGAAACTTTAGGGTATTACTTCTATAACCAATCAGAGGGCAAAGTGTTTGTTGCTTGGAATGGTGTTTTCTTAGAGAAAGAGTTTCTCAAAAGAGAGAAAAGTGGACAGAAGGTGTATCTTGAAGAAGTTCAAGATGAGGCAGTTGGGAAGGACTCTACGAGTGATGCTAATGTAGCATAACAAGTTGAGATACCCGTGGCAATAGAAACACCGCCACAACCACGAAGGTCTGCAAGAATCCATGAGTTGCGTGGGGATTTGTTATTGTTAGACGATGATGAACCTGCAACTTATGTGGAAGCAATGATGGACCCATATTCTGAGAAATGGCAAAGTGCCATGAGATCCGAGATAGATTCCATGGGAAACAATTAAGTTTGGAACTTGGTTGATCCTAGACTTTATGGAAAGCTAATGAAATTGCCTACAACATTGTTATTAACACCAAAAAGTCATTCCAAAGCTAACCCGGTCAAACATGCCAATGTTTCAGACCTGCGCAGAACTAGGACAGAAAAGTAGTAGTAGTTTCAAAATAGCATAACTGGAGTTACAGACATCAAACAAGCATGAACCTTAACTTTATAGAAAGCTTATTAAATTATCTAAAACATGTTTATTATCATCGCAAGGTGATTCCACTATTAATAAGATCAACCAAGCACAATTGAGCACATCTGTCCAGACTTGGACAGATTCAAAGATACAACTTCATAAGCTTATAACTAGAGTTGTACTAATCCAAAAGACATGCAACAAGACAATATGGAAATATTATGAAATTTTCTACAATTCATATTTAATCATCGCAGCATGATTCCCAAGTTAAAGGGGTCAAACAGTCACATTTATCAAATCTGGTCCAGAAATTCCAGGGAATTACAATTTCTGAAGACCAATTTAGAACAGTCATAACTCACAAAATATTAAGCCAAATATCATGAAAATTTAACAAAAGCTAGTTAAGTGAGTTATCTACAACTTTCTTATTATCATCTTAAGATTATTCTACAGATAACAAGGTCAATTAATCCAATGAATGCATCTCTGTCTAAAACATGGACAGAAACTGACATGCCATTTTAAACAACTATAAATGGAGTTCTACATGTCCAATAAATATGGTTCTGTACTTTTTAGAAATATTAGAAAATTATAAACAACTTTGTTATAAACACCTAAAGCTAATTCTATAATTAAAAAGGCCCCACAGTACCAATAAGGCAACCCTGTCTAGATTTGGGCTGAAACCGCTATAGAGATTTAAGCAACTATAACTCAAGATCCACTTAACCAAAAATCATAATATTTAGTTTTTTGAAAATATTAAGAAAAGTAATAAAACTCATGTATTGACATCAAGTCATGATTCATAACTTAACTAAGCCAATTAATTCAAACGTGCAGGCCTATTCAGAATAGGAGCAAAGCAACACAGGGCATTTGTTATTTTTATAACTCTTAAACTGTCAAGCGTAAAATCCTCAAATTTTTACCAGACATCAACCATCACATTATTAGAACTCCATAATAATTTAACATTTATTTGAGCACAACAACTGTAGTTATGAAAAAGACAAAGCACAACTAGCATTAAAAACCTAACTTCATAAATCTATTTTTACTGTAAAATATTTAAACTAAAATATGCAATATTATAGATCTACTGCATATACAATTTCACAAGGATTCCAAAAAGTCCACATTTACTATTTTACGATTTTTCTACTAATTACTACGAATTTTCAAAGTTGATCATTCAAATCTGTAAAAACTAAAAGAAAAGACATGTAAATCTTGCATCGGGGTCCTGCAGAAAACATAAATTAAACAACAGCGAATAGGTCCTTTCTAACACTATTCCTCTGAGTCAAGGACTTTGCAGATCGACCCTTCTCTTCTCTTGAATTCAAGCGCGAGGTCCTTCCTCTCGGTTCACAGCAGTGGAGATGGCCGGCTTGCGGCTTCGGCGGCCGTGGTCGTCACCAGCGGCGATGGAGTGGCGGGGAAGGACAGGGGCCCGCACGCACCCGCTGGTGGTCTCGGATGGCCGGGAGGCGGCCTGAGGTGGCTCGGCCATGTGCACCGGCGGTCAGAGGCGACGGCGGATGGCGGCTGCGGTGCTTCCAGCACGGTTCTGGACGGCGAGCACGAGCACGGCGTGCAGGAGAGGGAGGCGAAGCTGATGGCGTTGCTCGTGAGGAGCGAGGGGGCTGAGAGGGGAAAAATGGCCGCGACACCGGCGAGCTCGGAGCTCGGCCATGGCTCCAATGACGGCAGAGCTGGATCGAACGAGCACGCGTGCGAAGCAAAGAAGGAGCTAGACGGTTGGCCGGGCGAGGTGGACGCATCAAGAAGCAGGAACGGGCGGCGTGGAAGCTCCGCTCGCTAGCAATGGCGGGCATGGCGACTACCTGCGCTCTGCGCGAGTTAGCAGAGGCAAGGGCGAGTCAGAGTGAGAGAGGGAGCTGGGACTCGATGAGGCAGGGGAACAGGGCTCGAGCTTGGCTTCACCAAGTGACACGCGACGGCGAGGTGGTGAACGGGCACAGCACAGAGGAGCCACGCGGCGTGAGCAGTCTGTGACGGTCGGCCTTGCTGCTTCTGCTGATCAAGAAGGAAAGAAATCCAATACCACCTCAAACATATAACTGAAGCTCAATTTTTCCTGCCATCATATCACCTAAACCGATCGATGATTTGTTGAATCAATTATACCGTTGTGTAGAGCTACGGGAGTACTCCAATATTGCTTATATGAAGTTGAGCTGGTTCGGCCTGGTTAGAGAGATACAATGCTCCAAAGGCAAGTACATGAAACTGCACTGAGTTCAGTTAAGATCGGTCCGCACCGAGTTCAGTTAAGATCGGTCGGTCCTGCATTCAAAACTCAATTCTATCCCAAAAAATGCGATTGAACATCAATTTTTGTCCTTTCGTAACTCCAAATCCGTTTAGTTCTGGCACAAAATGTAGTAACAAAAGCCATAGATCTATATGAGTACTACAACTTTTCTTAAATGTTCAAATTCTAATTTGGCCTGGTTGGAGAGATACAAGGTTCCAAAGTGAGGTACATGAAAACTGAAATCACGAATTCAGTCATCCAAACTTAGCCAAATTTCGAGCTCCCAAAACAGTCATGGATTCCAACTTGAGGGCTCGGTTTGGCTTGCGCACAAGCTGATCTAGCTATTGGTCCAAAAACAAAGTTTGTTCTACTCCACTTAAACTTTAACTTTTATTTAAGGTACAACTCCATGCAAGCACTGTAAGTGATTGGTCAACATAGGTCAAAGTAGCATCGCGGTAAAGCTTAAATCTGAGTTTTAGACCGATTGATGCATTTTCTTGATCTCTGCTCAACACGAACCCTTTATGACTTTTGTTGTAGAGTTCAATTAGAGTCATTTGGGAAAGGTAGCAAGGTTTAGTTGATGACCTATAATTCCATTCACTTAATAAAGCAATCCAAGAAAGATTTTAACTTATCATTTCATGTGACTTCTTGATTCCAAACTTCATGAAACTTTTCCATGGATCAATATAGACGGATATTGATGTGAGACACATGAAATAAGTACATCCAACATTACTCAAGCATATTTTTTGGAAAGGGCAACATGTAAGCAATGGTGCATGGTCCAAATTTAAGTGGTGGCTCATTTTCATATGTTTGACCTAACATCGCCATCACCACT